GCAACCTTTCCTCATAGGACCTACCCTGCTGTCCCTTGATCATACGAGTGGCCCTCCTCTGGACCCTCTCGATGCTGTCCACATCCCTCTTAAAGTGCGGCGCCCAGAACTGGACACAGTACTCCAACTGCGGCCTGACCAGTGCCGCATAGAGGGGGAGGATCACCTCCTTGGACCTGCTCGAGATGCAGTGGTTGCACTGATAGTATAGTAGGGAGATTTGCCACTGATGTAAATGAGTGTAGGGCAAGAAGCAGATATAGTGCAATGGAGGTGAAAATACTAGTAAGATGTCACTGATATATTTTGTCAAATCTAGAGTTATGGAGAGGGAGGTTGAGAAATAATTTATTCTTAGAAAAATCCAGTTTTTGCAGCAGTCAGAATTATTTACAAATAAATGTCAAATTCAACAAATACTTTCAGCTAACAAATCTGGGGAAAAAAGAATTTTCAGAAAAGTCAAAACATTTTATTTAGATGTTTTCAGAACTAAACTTTTTGAATATTTGCTTCTAAATATACTGTATTGGGATTAAATTCAACTAGACATAATTTCTAAGAGAGTAAAGCAGTACCCCAAATGAAATATTTAATTCAACAAAGAACAGCTCTGGGGCAGAGGATATTTGCAAGAAATAAATAAAATAATTAATTAGTTTACACAGCTCTAACTTCTCAGAACAGGCAAAAAAGTGATCTTCATTTCAGCAGCTGTGAGTATGTTGATCTTTCCTCAGCATTGCCAGTGCGATTCATAAAAATATCCATAATAAGCATGAATGAAATCCAGTAGAAAGGTGCATAGAAGCATAGGTCCTCTGACATGTCAGGTTTCTATATTGCTGACTACAGGATGTAAAATGACTCCAACAACATTTCAGGCACCTCTACATCACGGATTCTGCAATAAGAATAGCAACAGCGAGTAACTAAAGAACACCTACACACTGCCTTCCACTAGGGCAATACAGTATCAGGGGAATCCAAGGTTTCAGTCTGAAAATTTTCACCAAGCCCCAACAGAGTTCTCATAGATAGTATACTGGATTTCCCCCCACATTTCCTCAACATTGGGTGTTAAGAGTATTAAGTAACCCATGGTTTCCATCTCACTGAAGCACCTATTTACACATCACCCTCAAGAAGCCAAAGACAGGGTAAATTTTTGAGCCTGACACTTTTATGGGACTGATCATGTTTTATCTAATGGATGAATTATCAGTAATTATTTAATGATGGCTGCGGGGATACTGGATTACACTAAGTTAGCACTACAGGCTTTCACCTCACACCTCAGTTTCTATCACACTGGAGAAATTAACCATATTGTCATCTCAGAATACATTTTCATTGCTATCAGACCTTAGAGTCTATAGTCTTCAATATGTACTGCAAAGCACAAAAGAGTGAAGGCCTTATGTTTAGCTGGGAGAGAAAGATGTAAGACATGTATGCAGGAACTTGTAAAACTAGTCAAGCACATGAGAGACAAACATTGCACATCCTCTCAAGCATCCTGCCTTCACCCACAAGTGAGAAAGCACATTGAAGGACATAGCTTCCAAAAAAAGACATAGTCCAAAGAAACCTGGCAGCATTGACAGTATTTTCCTCCAGGCACAGCACAGTCAAAGATGGTGCATGGCTACTACAGGTGAAGTCCACCTACTCAGTATTTGCAAGGAAGCATGCAAATACTGTCACAAGTCGACTTTATCCATACTATTGTTTGTTCCTTCAGGGTGTGCACAGTGCAGGCCCAAGCAAAGCAGAAGTGAAAGTCAATGGAGCCTGCTCTACAATGAGCTGCAGAGCTCAAGGGACATAAAGCATGCACTGGTAAGGAGGTGGTCAAGCTATCAAAGAGGAAAGGCCTTGTTTATATTCCCCTGCCTCTGGGGGCAGACAGCAACTACCAGAACATAGGCACACCCAGGTCTGTCTCATGGCTTTGCCCACCAGCAGTCAACAACCTGGATCCAGCAGCTCACTGCATCAAAGTTGTCAACACAAGAAAAAAAATCTACTAACAATCTGCAAACTTGTTGCTGGCAACCAAACTTTTTTGGTAAGATATGTTTTTTACTGACATGTATTTCACCTAATGTACATGTAACCCTTCTGCCAGACCCTGGATGGCAGTAACAAGGGACAGGTTCAAGTTTGGTTTTGGTTTTGGTTCAGGACCAATTTTTTATATCTTGTCTCAGCTGGCATATTTTATATATGACACGTAACATAAATGATGCCAAATTGACAAAAAGTCTTACATGACTGCTACAATGGTTTTACACTGTCCTGACCCCACCCCAGGAGTCCCCTATTTACCCTCATACCCCCAAATCCTGGCCACCCCCTTCACTATGCTATGCCTAGCCCAGCCCAGCCCTCAGTCTTACCCCACTGGCTCTGCTCCCCATCCCAACAGAGACCCCTACCCACCACCTCTACCCCCTTCCATCCCTACAGCTCTGTAACTGCAGCTGTCCTCACCTATGAATGGAAACACAATTTAAAAAACCAAACTTTAACTGTTGCAGTCTGTCAATAATAAAGATTATAACAACAGAAGGCTTTGCCGAAAAAATGACAACACTCCCTGTGGCATCAAGGAAACCAACATCTTACTTATTTGAGAGGATTTATTTTTAAAACATTTTTTTAAAGCCAATCATATGGGGTTTTTTGAAAGGCTGGGATTATCAGAGGTCTTTGGGGAAGGAAACCCTTTTGCTTATTGTCCAGCAGTCTGGGTAAAATAGTATTTCAATGCTGCTGTTTTACTGCGAACATGCTGTCTAAAAAGAGCTCAATTGCACCAAAGCTTATCAGACACAAAAGTCAGTTTTCAGATAAGCAGAGAGTAACATATAGATTAAACCTGTCAGTTAATTGAAAAGGCCAAGGTTTAAAATTACAGAGGTCTGCATTTAGTGGAGTAATACTTAAAGAAATAGTGCCAGCTCAAGGGGCCAATAAAAAGAAAAATGTAGCGCAGGACTTGCAGATTCTGTATCAAGTATCAAAACTACTTAGTGTGAGTAATTGGCTTGAGGTTCAAAAATGTTGTCAAATGTGATATGGAAAGTGAGTCAAGTCCAGGGAAAAAATAAATTGTGTCTTTTGTTTCTACAGATAGAAAAATGAATGTTAGGGTTGTGCAAAGCTTTGGTCCCTGATTTGATCTGGCGGAAATTTGGCCCAATTCGGCAGCTGAATGTCCAAATCCAAATCAAATCAGAGGACACTTTAATTTGTTCAAATCTAATTGGAACCCTCTGAATCAGTTCAGACATAGATACAGCTTTAAATGTTTTTTCTACATACCTCTAGGTACCAGGCAGCTTGTGAATGCTGAGATGCTGGGGCAGATGGAGCATCCCACAGGAGGGGTCCCCAGCTCACTTGGCAGCAGATCAGAAGTGGACCAGAAGTACTTCTGGTCCATTTCTGGGTCCACCGGGGAGCATCCAGGAGGGCCTCCTGCCCCCCGCCCCAGCTTTGTGACTGGTGCTTCCTGGGTCTGGGGGGGCACCTGGGGTCCCCCTGCAGTCGATTACTGAGCAAGGGAGGAATGGAGTGGGGGGCCCAGCATGCTCTCCAGCAGACCCAGAAGTGGATCAGAAGTACTTCTGGTCCACTCCCAGGTTCGCTACTGAGCACACAGGGGGTCCCCTGCGCTCCAGTGGGACGCTCCATCCACCCCACCATCACAGCATTCACAAGCCACACCTGATACCTCATGGTGTGTAGAAAAAAACATTTAAAGCTGTGTCTATGCCTGAATCACTGATTCCCCAAATCAGCATCAAATTTTCTGATTTGTATTCAGCCAAATCAAATCAGGGACAGTGATCTCAATCAACAAATGAAATCACTGTCCCTGATTCAGGCTGAATCCAAATCAAATACAGCCCATTTCACACATCCCTAATGAACTTTATAAAGAAACCAGGATGTTTCTTATGTACAGAACACTGAGATTGGTTTAACCCACTCTAATCATTTTTAAATACAAAAAGGTCAATTCCCTATTTCTGTAGAAATTAATAACTGAAATACAAAGTTCTTGCTCATAGCTGAAATACAGAATTCTTCCTTTCAGTTTGCTGTTTGACCATATTAGTGATAGGCAATTGTGAAAGTTAGTTTGCTTTTCATAAACATTTGTATGCATAAAGCTCAGAATCTGAAACAGATTAGATTTTGCCTGACTTCCAGTCTTTATAATTGCTTTTTTTTCTTTTGTATTGTATTAATATATATCATTACATGAATACATACGTATTTATATATAAATCCATATAAAATATGTATGCGTGTATATAATGCCACTAAGTACCCACAGATGTAACAAATGTAATCTAAAAACTGTAAGTAAGTAAAGAATCTGCTTTCTATTACAGTGGAAGTGAGGTACATGCTATAGTTAGTTTCTATATTTATGAAAATCTTCTTCTTTCCTTTATTCTTCCCATTACATCTTCCATTACAATTACATTGGAATTAAAGTCATATATTTATCATACAAAAGAACTCTGAAAGTAATGCAGATATTAAAACAGTTCTTGTTCACAAAGAACATTCTTCTGCACTCATCCTACTAAGCACACATCACAGAGAAGACTTTTGAGCCTCAGCCTATAGATCCAGATGCAAACTTGCAAAATATTCAACTCCTGTTCACAACTGAGAGCTTTATTTTGCTTTGTTTTGGGAGTTTTTTGTTTGTTTGTTTTGTTTCAGTACAAAAATTCAGGGGAGTGATACACATCAGGTTCAGATCCTAACAGATCTGAGGGAGTGTGTAGATGAAACAGGGGCCCTAAATTGAAATGGTGGGTTTTAAAAAAATGCTTCAAATTAGGGCTGATTAAACCCCCAGGTCATGTACACACCCCGCTGACTTACCTGCTTCTCCGGCAGGGAGGGAAGGGTGAGCTGCTGGCAGGAAGAGCGCTCCCTGGGCTGCGGGATGGGGCTGGTGCTTCCCCTGCAGCAGCTGCACCCCCCCCAACCTGGTGGCACCTGCCCGCAGGCACCTGGCTTGGGTGGTCCTAGGGGGCACTGCGGCCGTGGGGGGAAGCATCTGGCCCCCATGCATCTTAGGCAGGCAGGCAGGCTCCAGAGGAGGGTGGGAGGGGTAGGAGGGGTGGAGATCAGGCTCACCACTTTTCTTGAGCAGAGCTGCTTTCCCAGACTGCTGCCAGGCTGCCTGCAGGGCTTCCGGCAGAGCCATGGAGCTGCACAGATCGTGGTGCTTCACTCCGTGGCTGTAGGGGCAGCGAACTAAAACTCCTCAAGGGAGATTTAGTTTGCTGTGCCCCAAGTCATTTAAAGTGCATTACGCCACCATATTTCCTACAGCAGCTGGAATTAATAGACAATATGCTGTTGAGGCGTGCAAACATCGACACCATTAAAGCAGTGCAAAAGCATTTAGCCCGCTTTAAAGTGTCAAGCACACATGCCTCTCATTTTGTCTACACACGGCCTGAGAAATTAGTCTACACCATTTTCTTATGTTAGGGAAATAGGTTGCACTCCAGAATTTCAAGCTTTATCTAACTGATGCAAATATAGAAAACAAATATTATTTTTGACATTCTCCTCTCTTGCCTCATTCTGTAAGTGCCAAACTTTTTCCTTGTTTCCACATATGTTCCCATTTAAGGCAACTTGGTAGCTGATCATGCTGAAGATAAATGGCCAAAGTCACGTTTCCTTTCCTTATTGTTCTATATTTTTTGAGCACCGATTCTCTGCTTGGCCATATAAATGACCCATAAGAGAGGCAAACGCTGCCTTGAAGAGCTTTTGTTTAGGGCAGGAGGCTTAATTATTCATCTGCACAAGCTATAGCTACAGTTGCTTTAATTCTATCATGGTTTTTTTTACATAAAATACATTGTGTGTTATTGTACAGTGGACTTAACTGGCAGACAGTAAAGGTCTGTCTACACTGATATTTAGGGTCAACCCTGAGGATCTTTCTCAACCAACCCATCACATAAGCCACACTTTCCATATCTATATCTTATGCTTTCCATATCAATATCTTACCACTGAAATTGTCTACATTGTGCTTCCCGTTTCTTAAAACAGAGCCCTTCTGGGAATCCATCTGCAATTACTTGTCTCTTCTTCAGTGCTTAGTTCTAATTATGGACAGCAGAGACAGGAAGTGGGGTGCAAAAAGGCCATAAGTCCAGAACAGGCTGTGGAATTGCTGCTATAAACTCCCTAAACAGGGCATAGCTATACAAGATGCTTTACTGTCCAGTACACTCATGTACTGCACAGTAAAGCATCCCCGTCAACATGTGTGCACCTTTTACCGCACAGTAAATTAGTCTACTGTGCAGTTAGCTTCTACCTGTAAATAGAAATAGTAAACTAACTGAGCATTAGATACTGTGCAGTAGTGCATGTGTAGATGCTGACCGTGAGCAAATTTGCTCCTGGTCAGCCCCAACACCAGGGGGCCACAGGGGATGGGGAACTCCCTCAGTCCTGGCACTGCTCAGCTCCTGGCTCCTAGGAGTCAGGAGCTGAGCAGTGCCAGGATAGGGTAGCTCTCTGTCCCACCCCACGGCCCCATCCCAGCACTACACAGCTCCTGGCTCCCCACAGGAGCTGGGAGCCAAGGAGCACTAGGACTGGGGAGTTGTTTGCTTCCCCACCCAGCCAGGGGCTGGCTGGAAGCTGTTCCACTTCTGGGGCAGCTCCCAGCCAGCCCTTGGCTGGGCAGGGAAATCCATAAATATCATATTTATCATGTGATAAAAAGCTCCAACCAGCTATTAAGTTAGACCTCAAAAATGTGTACTCATTTTATAGCTGGTTGCTATCTGGTTTTAATTTCTATGTATAGTATGGTCTCCCTTGCAGCTGGGAGCACTGTGAGCTGACAGGACTTTCAGCCACAGGGGTGCATCATGCCGAGCATGAAACCCCTGAGCCTTGGGGATCACAGCTGCTGTGATCCCCAAGGCTCCAGGATGTGTGAAACTCCTGGGCCCATGTGTGCAACTAGGACTGAGAATCTCAAACCTGACAGGGCTCTTGGTCCCAGCTGTGCTCGAGCTTGAAATCCCTTCAGCAAAGGGGGCTCCCAGTCATAGGCACCTGTTTCTCTTTGATGCAGGAAAAATTCAGGATCGGGCTCCCCCTACACTGGCAATAAGGCACAATAGAGCCTAATGCACAATTCCACAATTGCGCCTCCTGCCAAGCACATGCAGTAAGGCACAATTATGTAGATCACACATTAGATACAATTGTGCCTTTACCTGCATGTGTAGAGGGGCCTGATCTTACGCTTCTTGCCCATCAAGATTCATTTTGCCCCAGCTTCCCTTGATTTTATTACAGAAGAAAGAACTTTTTCATGTTGATCTGCAGCATATGGAGCAATAAATGACATCTGAGACTAGCTGATTAGAAGACATTAAGAGGAGACATTTAATTAATGTCAAAAGTTGCTGACTGTAATCTGACTCAAGTTCCATGCGATTATCCTTGCGGTATGCAAAATTACAACACAGGGGAAAAAATCATGTTTTAATTCCTTTCTGAAAAGTTGCAATGTTGCTTTTTTTTCTTAGATTTAATAGCGACATACATGGTGGAGCGCAGTGGAGATGAAGAGCTAAACAGAGCACTAAACACCAATTTAAACTATTCACACACACAGTTTTTATATGTGTGTGACAATGGGCCAATATATAAAACAAATGATGTAATACTGAATGAATTTATCTTGCATGTTCAATTAGAGAATATCAAAACCCATTACAAACTTTACAGCTAAACATACCTGAACTTGGTACATGGTACTCAGGTACTGAGTACATAACATACACAGTGCTCAGAACTGGAATATTAAAATTTTCATGGTTTTGCTCTAACATAAATCATGCTAGTACACATGCACAAAACATTTTCTTTTCTATTGAGAATTGCAAAATTGAAATCTAGGGAAATTATTGATTTTCCTTCGTTCTTCTACCAAATATGTGATACCCATGTGAGAATGCATTTGGTTTACTTGAAAATTGATGTGCATATAGATCTAGATATCAAACAGATATCAAACTTGCTTTGAGCTCCATAGCCCATTTAATTTTTCACATCATTTTTCAATATCTCTCCATTGCAACTTAATGTCACTAAGTGCGTTTGTCAAGTTTTAAAAGACTAAAAACCAA